GGGGGGGGGGGGGGGGGGGGGAGGGGAGAGAACAAGGGAATCCATGGCTGATATGTAAAATTAAATTAATAAATTTAAAAAATGAAAAAAAAAAGAATTACAGCATTTGTGTGATGGAGAGAGGCTGGAAAGACACTGGGAAAGTATATGGGGGCAGAGAAAACTTTCTATGCAGAATGGTGCTCAAACTAAAATTTAGGTGATGGGAAGGGATATTAGGTCTTCGCTGACTCTAAGGGATTTAGTACCAATTCTCTGTTCCTCCAAGAAATAGGGAGGTGCTTTGCTCTTCCTCCTTAACAGTCCAGTGGAGAACACTAATTGCTAATGAGGATCAAATTAAATATCTAGCTTCCTAACTTGCAAAGTATGGCTCTGACCTTGGGCTGATTATCTAAGTACTTGTAAATGCAGTAGCCTTTGTCCTTCCATAGACACTGATTTATTTTCTTAGTAAAGTGACTATCATATGTGATGAATGTCAAGTAAAGGGTAGGTTCTACAGATGGAGAAAGACCACTCTAATAGCACAAGATGGGACTAAAGAGAAGTGTGGCCTTGGGCAAGCTTTCTCAGAGGCAGACAGAGGTGTTAGTAGTGGTTAGCTAGACCCTGGGGACAGGAGTGGCTGGATTTGGTCCCGTCTGTTGTGTGCTTTAGCTCAGTGATATAGAGCAAGACTCTCAGTCTCAAAAGACTTCCCTTTTCTCTGCATGGTTAAGAGAAGATATTAAAACCTGCTCCTGGGGACTGCTGTGAACTTTAAATGCAGACCCATGATTAGAGTTTCTCTCACCTTCTGAAACGTAGTGGAAATGAATTACTTCTAGGCTTATCTTTCTTCATGGGGCAAACTCCCCCTTTCCCCTTGCAGTTCCTGAATGGCACAGCTTGCTGATGTCTCGTGTCCAAGAAGAACCTGTAATGCAGGCTTTCCTTACTCTTGTGAGCCTGTAGTCTTGCCTCAGAGTGAGCAAGAGCCTTGGTTATAATAATCACACAGCTGCCACTAATCCAAGTCTGTCAACACCACTGTGAGCCCCTCTGTGCCAGTATGAGTGAGTTCCATAGTCCATGTGATTCTCGGTTGACATGAGTGCATTGCCCTCTTAAGAATGAGCACAGGCCTGGCTAAGTGCTTTGAGAGAAGTTCCAATCCCAGAGAGAGACATGTGAGTCCTGACTGTCCTCAGGGACAGGCTGGCCCCCCGGGCTTCACTTGATGCAGGCTAGGCAGTTTGTGCTCCACACCATTTGCACCTAGGTTTAATTTCCAAGAACATTTTGCCAATCACGATGTTAACATTTCTTCATGATTTCAGTTCTACACAGGGGGGGTTACTGCAGCCCTCGGGGGAGTACTCTTTGCTTTCTTCTGGTTCCTTGTTATCTTTTGACAGTTTCCAGTGAGGAGAAGTGGCAGTGTGCAGGCGAAGTTTTAGATGTTTCAAACAGGCTTCAGCACTTGGCATGGACTTTTCACACTTAGTAGAATCCCCCGGATATTAAACTTCTGTGAATTATCACAATCATCAAATGAGTCTTGTAGCATGAATCCTAAAATAAAAAAAAAATGGGAGCCAGATATTGGGGTGAATGCTGAAAGATCAGAGAAACAGAACAAACCACAGATAACCTCATCTCGACAATTCCTCAGATGATCTTGTTTCCTCAAACTGGAAGCCTCTGAGTCCTCATCAAAATGGATTTCAGCTGAAATGCTGTTAAAAGCCTAAAAGCTTAACAGGCTCTAGTTTCTGGTCCTCACGTCTTATATACCTTTCTGCTTTCTGCCATCACTTCCTGGGATTAAAGGCGTGTGTCACCATGCCTGGCTGTTTCAAAAGTTATCGGGGACTAGGGGCGGTCCAGCCCCTCGATAGTCCCCTCCCAGGGTCTGGGAAGAATCTACAACCAGCTGATAATTAATCTTTGTTGAGAAGATGTTGAGAAGAAATGAATCTATGTACACGAAACTCCTTAGTCCATACACTTTATTATTCTGTGATAGTTCTCTCTATATACAGCTTCTATTCTGCTCTCATGTCTAGCTCCTTTCTTGCCTGATTTCTGTATATTTATCTACTGTCCCCTCTAGGTTCTATCTTAATTCCTTCATCTAGTTCTGTCCCTTCTAGGTTCTCATCTATCTAGTTCTTTCCCCTATCAGCTCCTCTCCTGTCTCCTTCTCTCTCATCTGGCTCTTCCTTACCTTGTCCTTCTCCATCTGGCTCTTCCTCATCTTCCATCTCATTCCTCTAGTCCTCTCTTTTAGCCCTCCATTCTAGTTCTTCCCCATCTCAGTTTGTTCCTCTCAAGTTCTTACCCATCTAGTTCTTCCATTCTCTTTTCTCTTCTCCCCCCTGTGCCCTAGAAGCCCCGGTATACAAAGGGAGGGTCCGAGCTAAATTGTATAAAGCTATACTTAACATCTACCTCTCCTAGGTGGTGTCTCCTTGTGGAATTTACCGTAAGTCAGGAGACTTGCATGTGGGCTGTTATCATTGTTAGTCCTCGAAAGTTGGGCGCCTACATGGGTGGTGTTCCCTGTAGTCCTTGAAAGTGGCTAAGGGAGATAATCTGATTCCAGAGAAAGCCTTTCCTGAGGCTATTCTCCAAATACCTGGAATGTGTATATATGTTCAGAGAGTGATCAGTCTACACTGTTAGTCCTTCTTAGGGGAAAGTCAATTGGAAAAACTATGAAGGCACACATGATTTTCATAACAGAATACAGCTGATATATAACAAGCCAAGTAACACCAAAAACTCCTTGGGATTTGGCTTCCTCTGGAGGAATTCCCTGATCCCTCCAGGTAGTGACTTTGCCATAACCAGCTGAGTTCTTATGATATATTCCTGCGGCCTGCAGCACAATGTGGCTTTGAACTCACAGAGATTCAGATGGATCTCTGCCTCCTGAATGCTAGGATTAAAGGCATGTGCTACCATGGCCTAAACCTATGTTTGATATAGTGGCTGTTCTGTTCTCTGACCCCTAGATAAGTTTATCGGTCTGCACAATATATCAGCCACAGAGTCCTATAATAGCGAAAACTCCTAGACTTGAGCATCCATCACAACAACCAATTAACAACACATTAATGCACTGCTCAAAGGTTGTAAAATACAAGTTTCAGTAGACTAGCAAGCAACATGGCACTGGGCATTTCTCCCTGCCTGTGTATTTTCTCCTTAAAAGAAAAGTTCATGCATGTATACTGTATTTACACCATTTCCACACTCTCTCTTCCCTTTCATGCCTCCTGTGCTCTCCCCAACTGTCTCTCAAATTCATGGTCATTTTATATATAATTATTACTCATATATAAAGAAACAAAACCTGCTGAGTCCCTTTAGTACTGCTCACATGTATATGCTTTTAGGTTGGACCATTTGGCATCATTAACCACTTAGCCGGCTCATCAATTAGGGAAGAGCCATTAATTGCCTGTAGTTCTTCAACTAGGAGTTGCGGCTCCTGAAATTTCTCTCATCCACCTTGGCTTGTCAACGGATGTGGTCATTTTCAGATCTTGTTTGGGTAGCTATAGTTTGGAGCTATCATGGGCACAGCTTTCCCTGTCATATAGAGAAGACACAATCTCGGAGCAGAAATCCTGTTTCTCTGGCTCTTATAATATTTTCACTCTCTCTTCCATGGTGTTCCCTTAGCCTTAGGTATAGGGGTTGCCTTGTAGATAGATGTATCAGCTGGGTCTGTGTGGTGGTAATCTAATTGTACTGAAATATTATTTTGATTGTATGTTAATAAATAAAGTTGTCTGGGGGTCAGAGCTATTACAGCCATAGCAAGAGTGTGGCGGTGGTGGCACACGCCTTTAATCCCATAGATATCTGTGTGTTCAGGGTCAGACCTATTAGAGCCATAGCAAGAGTGTGGCGGTGGTGGCACACGCCTTTAATCCCATAAGATCTCTGTGTGTTCAGGGATACAGTCAGCATTGGAGACATATGCCTTTAAGACCTAGGGGGCTGTACATTCAGACAGTGATGAGGCAGTCATGTGTTTGGGTTTACAACCAATGAGAAGGCAGAACAACATACTATAAAAAAACGAACCGACAGGAAGTAGGTCTCTTTTCGCGAAGCTGGGACAGCAGGAGGAAAGGTGAGATTTTAGCTCTGAGCTCTGACCTCTCGGCTTTCTCTTTTACATTGTTTCTGTGTTTCTTATTTAATAAGACGGTTGGTTACATCTACAGGTCTGGGCACCCCATGGTGAGTTGTTCTCTGTATTTTGACTAGCTACAGCTTTCTGTAATGGTCTCTATCTGCTGCAAAAAGAAGGTGGTTTGCTGAGGGCTGTGTACTGCACTTACCTGTGGGCAAAGGATAAGCATTTAGAATGCAGTTAGAGATGACACAGGTCTAGGTTTCATGGCCTCAACAGCCACAGGTAGTTGGCTAGGTCTACAGTACTAGGCATAAATTCCATTCTATTGAGTGGGTCTTACATCCAATCAGACAGCCTGAGGTTACTGCCAAGATACGAGCTCCACTATTGCACATTTAGAGATGTCTTGCTGTGCCGGTCATTACGGCTGTTCGTCACTGTAAGAGCTGGTTGGACTATTAATTGTTGTTTGTTTGTTTGTTTCCTTAACAGCTTTCACACCACCTTCTGGTGCCATAAGAGCTAATTCTCAGAGAGGAAGCTTCCAGGTCCGTTCGTGCACACTTCCTCCAAGTCTGTTATGATGGCTTCAACCATAGGGACTTACCTTCAAATTCTGGGTGGCAACTGGGGGCAACAGCTAAAGCCTGTATTGTTTGGGGAGTTGCTTGGATTCCCCTGACCAACAACTCAAAAGTACCAACACGTTTGGTACTGGAGTTTTGTTAAGTAGTCTATGGGTCCTTGGGGAAGAATTCTCACTACCAAGTAGTATAAGTTCAGTTAAACTACACACACACACACACACACACACACACACACACACACACACATACACTTTCAAACATCCTTAGTGTTAATTAACCTTCTTCCCACCCTCTCCTTCGGTCTTCTCCTACCTTTTTCCCCTAATCAGTTTCCCCATTTCCCATTTGTAGTATCCGCCATTATCTGCTTCTTTTCATTTCTAAGTTCTCTGGCTGATGGGAGTGAAGGCAGAAGCTGCTGAGGAAGCAGCTCCCTGGCTTCATTTGGCGTCTGCAGAGACTTGCTGCCCTCCAGTCAGGAGGCTCTGGGGGAGGTGGGAACCCAAGGCTCCAAAACAGATGCTCCCTGTCAGAGAGTGACAGACGTGAAAGCCGGTGATGAATGGGGGAGAGGAGCTCACGCTTCACGGCACTCTGCTTTTAATGATCTGAACAGAACCACTGCAGCGTGAGGTGTTTCCAAATTAAACAAAAGGAAACTTCCCTCATACACAGATGCAACACTCTCTCCAGATTATCTGAGTAAGGTCCAGGAGACATGAACGCATCACAGTGTGGAGGAGGACTGTGCCTTAGAGACGCCGCTGTGCGCTTTCCTCGCCTCCTGCCTGAATCGCGACGTTAGACACCGAGGAGATTGGGACAGCTTCACTGTTTCTCATAAGTGAAATTTTATTGTCTACTGCTTCACAATCTAGATTGTTATAACAGGAAAGAGTGGCAATGATAGGTAATGGAAATTTCTAATTGTATTTCTTTCGAAAATTCTAGCTGCAAAGATAATCCTTTTACGGGGAAACAGAAGATAATTTTGAGGAAACAATCTGTAGAAAGGACGAAAGGGGGACATTGGAAACTCTCCAAAGCAGTACTGTAAAGGGGACTTATGAGTAACACAGACTAAAATTTTCAGGTTAATAATTGTCTTTGCCATCACAGTGCTAGATTATCAGCTGGAATTGCTCGCAGACGAATAAAGAGTCCCACACTGACCCACTTTGTGAGGATATTTTCTTATAGATGAGACCCAAGATAAGAATTTACAACCAACCAACACCATCTTGTTCCAGTGATACTCTCTTTGCTCAGATCTGTCCAAAAAAAAGTAAGTGGAAAAGAGTTCTAATCCAGGTCACTCTACAGAAGCACACTCCAGCACGAGGTACCTTAATTGTCCACTTATTGCTGCCTCATCCATATATCACCCCTCCAGGGAAGAAAACAGATAGGGAGTTGAACTCTTCATTGACTCTTCTTCCCTAAGCCTATACTGAATACAGCCTTACCATCTTACCAATGTCCTCAGTGTCCATCCCCCTAAATAGAATCCCAGAGATATGGGGCCTCAGTGTTCGCACCAGGTGGAAACTTTCACAGAACCAAAGAGTGTAATCATTTCTTTGCTTCAAATATGCAGCTACAGTGGTAGATTTAAATTTTGATTGTGTAATAGAACACAGTAGTTCCTTTTTCTTTAATGAGCTTAGAGATGTGAATTCTCACTGCATCTTAAGGAGGGTGTCAGAATGGGCATCAGATTGGTTTAAACAGAGCTCACAAAAGCCAAGATTTGAGTGGCAAATTGTGATCATGTAGAAGGTGAGCACTGAAGACATGCAGCCCTGCGTTCAAATGTGACCTGATGAACTAAGGACCATGAACAGAACAGATTAGCTTAATTCCCATTTAAAAAAAAATAGATGAAAATAATTACAGCATTGAGACTCAAAGCTGTCACAAGGATCCAGCATACCAATATATATATAAGGCATTTTGATAATAGTGGTAAGTGCCAAGATGTATTCATGTCATTATCTGCATTAATAACTTTTTATAAATTTTAAGGTTAATACCAGGTGTTAATCTAGGACCAAATAAATGTTCAGCAGGTCTGCAAACATGCAACGGTAGTTATTTCAAACAAATAAATGACTCCACCTTTTAAGAGACCAATGTCATAACTACTTGGAAACTGCATTATCAGGACATTCCTTGTAGAAATTTGTGAACATATTGGTAAGAATTTCTAGTGTTTTTTTTAAAAGATGATTGTAAGTGGTTTGACCCACCTTTGTGGATCTATCTGGGTCTTGATGGTTGTCTAGAGTTGTAAAAACACCACTGAAATGTGTCCTGGTATCTTCCCCAAAGCTAACCTGAAATGAGGGCATTTCTTGACTTTTCTTCTTTCAACAAGAATGTTTCATTTTTCTTTCAGAAGGGAAACAAACTTGCTTGTGATGGTTTTATGAAAGGTGATGTGGGAGGAAGACAAGTGTGTTCCTGAGCTTTGGAGATCTGGTGAGTATTGTAGTTTCCCAGGAAATGAGTAAAGCAACTTGAATGGCCCAGATTCCAAACTGGACCCCCTTCACCAGCAGGGCAAACCAATGCTTCATAGGGTGGGAGAAAGGTGTTATGGGTTGTACTGCAGCCAGTGAAAAAACATCTAGAATTCACAAAGAACTGCCAAAAAAAAAAAAAAAAGTAAATAGACCTGGTAATCAACAATGAACTAATACAGCTCACTGAATGCATTTGCTCCATTAATCCATTTAGAAAAAGTGATTGTTACATTGGTTTTGAAGAAAGCAGTTGTATTTCCTGATCCACACCTCATTTTCTTGCATTTAAAACTACATCCAATCATTCTATTACATTGTTATTTAATATGTATACTGCACTGTTATACATAAAAAGAATGGTTTTTTAAAAATTCATCTTTAGAATAATGGACTATAAGGAAGTCCTTTGTAGACCATTTGTCCAACACCAACTGTGCTTCAGGAGCTGCAGGAAGGTTTATTTTCATTCAGAATTAGCCAATGCAATGGCAGTGAATATTTCCCAGCACTGCGAAAGTTTGTCTCCCTGGAGACCTGTTCAACTGCTTCAGGCCTGTCTTTGAAATAAGAATTTGTTCGCATTGCTATTTCTTACCTGTATCTAGCAGCTTAAAACAAACAAACAAAAACAAAACAAAAACCCTCTGTTCTATGTTTCCAGTTCATTTAACCGTTTCATATTAAACATCTCAAGTATGTGTTGTTCACTTACCACAAGGAGATATGAGAAAAGCCAGGTGGTGATGTCTGCAGGTGCTGTAGAGAGGTCAAAGAAGAGAAATCTTAGCTGAGGAACCCAGGCCCTTTGTAACTGTCACCAAGCATGCTTGGAGGGGAACAACTGCCTGTTTGGGGTCGGGGCAGAGCCACAGTCTAGCATACTCTTTCAAAGCTATGTGTGATGCAAGCATTTCTAAGTATGTCATGAAGAAAAAACTCAAGAGTTCCCTCTGTCCCCAAGATTTGCAGAAAACTCAGGAAGCACATAGTTTTGTCACCTGTGAGTGGTTTAATTATAATGCTGAAATGGTTTTCCACTAAGCAACATATCAGCTATGTTAACAGCCACCCAGCATCCTTGTTCTGAGGTACATTCTCTGTTTTCTGTTCACACCAGTGAATACTGAGAATAAAAATACAAAATACTTTTCTGGGCGTTGAAAGTGTAAAGGTTGATATTTTCTCATGTCTAGGTGGATTTCATTCTTAAATTTTAATATTAACACAAGAAACTAAGGAGAATAGTCAAACCGAAACCCATCATGATAAACCCTCCAAAGTAACCAAATAGCTTGGTTTTACTGAGTTACACCACCAAATTTGAAGACCAAAGTGTATCATAGACTTGTGCTGTGCAAAATTCCCCAAACTTGATCAATGGGGTGTTGTGAATTTAAAGTAGTAAGGGGAGGAGATCCCATTTCCAAAAGAGTAATTTATCAGTCTAAAGCCTTATTATATGAAAATATATTTTATCAAACACTTTGCACTTAAAAGGAAAGATTTTTCTTCATATACAAAATGAATTAACACCCTCAGTGAGATCAAAACACAGCATACGTGCACAACAGATTTCATGCACCTGAGATGATGCCTCAAACCCCGGAAACACACACCATGCTAAGAAAGTCTAGGAAGAAATTAATGAGGTTTGTGGTGCAACGTGAAGTCATCTGCCCATATTGAAACAAGTTTGTGAAACCGTTGGGGAATGTTGGCACTTCAGTGTGAAGTGTGACAGAAGGAAGTTGGCAAATCCCAACACTGTCTGAGACTATAGCATGTAGCACTCCAGAGTTACCACCTGTGTTTGCACAGTGTCCAGATATGATCTGACTTTTTAAAAGAAATTTTATTTTAAGAGAGATAGAAGCAGTAACTGCAGGGTTACTAGCTTTAGCTCTCTCCACCCAGGCCCTATTAGTGCTAAGATCACAGAATTAATTGGTGGATGATTAAAACCTTTAGACTTTCAAAGCTGTAGCAAATAACTCACACACTGCAAAGCGCAAGTTCCCTGCTTTGTTTTCAGATATCTTCACTTCATTTCCTTATTTTTTTTTTTTTTTGCTTCACAGTATAAGTTGGCAGAGACTTCTGGTGCTGTTTTTCACAGACTGCAAGTGAGAAGATGACAAATTCCACACTGCCAGAGCAGGCGTAGATGTGTCCTGAAGTAGAGCCTCTCTAAGGGTCCTGAGTACCACGAGCTTCCCACCTGACTGAAGAAGTCGGACATTATCAGGAGAGCTTGCACGCAAGCAGTGAATTGCATTATTTATCCCCCTTAGTCTCTGGTTGCTGAGGTGACAGGTGGGAAGCCATTTGCAATCCCTCACTCTGGGAAATGATGGTTGTTTCCAGTCTTGAACTGGTTGTCATGGTACCCAGAGTCATGTGACATTTGGCTCTCTGTCTCCAACTGTTCCACTTTGGGCAAAGTGACAGCTTATTTCCTGATGGACACCTGGAGATTTAGTCATCATTCATTCTCCTGCAACTCATCTGAAAACCCTGCACATGGAAGACAGAGTATCTCACAGACAGTATCTATCTCATAGACAGATAGTATCCCATAGACATATGGTATCTCACAGACAGTATCTCATAGACAGATAGATGATATCTCATAGACAAACAGATAGTATCTCATAGACAGACAGATAGTATATCATACCTTCACTACAAATAATTCACTCTGAAGGGTCATCTTTCAGGACCCCCTTCCACCCACATCATCACATGCCAATTTCCTTGAAACCCTTTGAGCCCATGCTGTATTGGAAATGTAAATAGTCCTCTCTGGAACATTGGCTTCTCCCCCAAGAGTTGTCTTTGCAATTCAGGAATTGGAATGTAGAGGAATTTGGTTTCATTCTGTATTTCAGTCTGCCGACTCCACCAAGTGTTCTTCCTCCAATGAGCTTCTGCTGTGTGGGTGAATTTTAACTGAGAAAGATCTATAAGCATTCAGGATTCTGCAAGCATCTCTAGATGTTGTATATGCTAGGCAGAGAGACTGGTGCATGAACAAATAGTTCTTTGAAAGATCATTCTGGGAAAGAAAACAATATAACACAATTTCCTAATATCTTTACATTAAACAAAATGTTTTGCCTGATTTGTGTTTATCATTAAACAATAATCCCATCTAAAGGAAAGGGAATTTTTAAGAAATACATTGTGTTCATTTCTCCAAGATATCTGGTAGCACATAAAGATAATGGCTGAAAAGTGACCGTCTTGGACCCAAGAGTACTGAGGCCAATACCCTTCCCCACAGTGCCAAGTCTCCCCTCACTCACACCCTGAGATTCAAAGCATCTGGCTGGATGTCTTTTAAGAGGTAGGCTTTGAGGAGATATGTGCTCAAATCCAATGAAATGCATAGATTACAGCAACTCTCCATGCCCTTTAGGGCCTTTTCAGAGATGTGAATTCCAGGCTTTTATTTGGATACAGAATTGCTATGAGCTTATCCAATGCACTGTGGCCCTGATCCTGCCAGGTAAAGTTAAACCTGGTTCTCAGCCTGTCCTCTTAGAGGGACTTACAGAGATAATGGCCTGACATTGCCAGCAACATGACCAGTAGTCCCACTATGACACAGACTTGACATGTAGTTAATTTGACACAGTTTGAAGATCATCTGGCTTTATGAAAATAGGGAGTTATCATTTTGAATTTATAAAACTTACTTGTAAAACATTATTTATATTATCATAAACTTTCTGACAGGAAGAGGGAGAAGGAGGCAGAGACAGTAATTAGTCCCCCAGTGCCACCTAACAACTGCATTCAATGCGACTGTTGCAACTTCCCACATGCCAATGGGTTGGTGGCCATGTTCCTACTCTTGTTTACTGATCTGTGTTATAATGTGATTCGCTTTATAAAAAACAAGATGGTAAAATCTTCTGCTGGCAGATGACACTTAAGTGTTGCTTGGCAAATGAATTATGGTGGCTGTCTCCACTCACTAGGGGCACAAGCTGAGCCTTGGTACTCTTCTTAAAATACCCACACATTTGCATGTTGTCATGTCTGGTGAGCCAGTTCTCAGTCTCTTAGTGCTCAGATACATGGCCTCCTGTCAGATTCAAACACAATGGAAGGCAGAAGGCACAAAAGTCAAGTGTTTTAGTCATAAAACATTCCACAAGTGATGTGAGGAAATCTGTTCCGTCACTGCCTGCCCATGACCTCTCCTCTCCCACAGACCTTCACCCTTTTATTCTGCAACGATGGTCCTGGTCTTCTGAGTACTTATTCCCTTTCCCCAGTAGGGAGATTCTGATCTGTGTCAGGAGATGGTGCTACAGGGTCACTGAATGACTCAGTGGAGGCCAGGCTGTGGGTCAAAGATGACCTTCCAGCAAGCTTGTGAACAGTCCTGGCTCATGGAAACCTGACCATAATGCTTAGCTTGTCAGCTGCGGGTCGCCTCTGACTAGGGGCTCCCCTTTACTTACTTTATGGCATCCAAAGGTTTAAAAACACTCTCTCCAACAAAATCCTAGAAACATGGGCTTGTGACCCCTCCTTGGCTGGCCAAAGCCTAGACTATTCGTCACTCCTTTGTGTTTATGTGTACATATGGATGCATGTACATACATGTAACTGTGCATATGTATATGTATGTGTGTGCATATGTGTATGTATCCTTCCCTTTCAAATGCTAAACAACTTTGTCTCAAATATACAAACTAGAAGGAAAATATTCACATCCTCAGCTCACTTACTGTCCTTTTAAATCCATCTTACAAAAGATGGCCAATGCTCATGGTGGCAGGTAGAAAGTCTGGAATTGACAGTGTTTTGCCTGGGGACTTGCATCAAAATTCCATAGATTAGGTAACATGAACATTTGTTATGTCTCACAGTGTTGGATGTCAATACAAAGTCCAAGGCCAAGATGCCAGTAGATCATGTGAGCTACAGGTGGCCACCTTATTGTGTCCCGAGAGTGGAGAGAACAAATTTTGGTTTTTGTCTCTATTAGGGAGTCCCCATCTCCATTGAACTCACCATCTAAATTTACTCACTTTTAAGGACTCTGCTTCCAAATATCATCACATTAGGAGCAGTGATTGAACACATGGATATGCAGGTGTTTTTTTGGTATGTATGAGTGGAATGAGTCGGTATTTATTTCATAACATACATGAGGGATTTCCAGAGTCAATCCCTGAGCTCCAGTTTGAAATGCAAACTGTAGACAACTTCTAGTCTGTCTTGGCTCATATCTTCACTAGAGTTCTACTGCTGTGAATGGATGCCATGACTATTGGTGAATTATTTAGGCCACTCCATGTAGTTAAAAGGAAGATTTATTTAGTAGATAACTTACAAATGAAGGGATAAGTAGGTCTCGGGGTCTGGAGAAGGTGTATCGCAGTCCAGCGGTGTTCTCTGGAGCTCTGCTCGGTCCACCTCCACTGTCTAGGGTCCAAGAACAGAGAGAGCACTGGCCCATCCTGATCTCGGGTCTCTCAGCACCTTCCTTGGCCCCGCCTTGTAGGCATGACAGTTGCGGAAGCCTCAATGGGGGTTGGAACTTCCAGATCAAAGCTGGAATGGTTGGACAGATGGCTCAGGGGTTAAGAGCACTGGCTTCTCTTCCAGAGGTCCTGAGTTCAATTCCCAGCACCCACATGGTGGCTCATGACCATCTATAACAAGATCTGATGCCCTCTTCTGGTGTGCAAGTATACACTCATATAGAAAATATAAATAAATAAAAATTAAAAAAAAAA